GCTCCCCAGTCCGCACCACCCCCACCCCCCCTTGCCTGGATCTGTGAGCTTCGCTCCTCCCCTTGTTTACTTCCCCCCTAGTCCAGAGCCTGGGGGGAGGGGGGAGAATGTGGAGGAAGAGGTGGGGGATGGGCGGGAGGCGGGGAAGGCGTCCTCGTTCAGAAAGGATGGGGGTGAGAGCTCGGGACTGAGTGACAATCTAGCGTCACGTCCGGGGCTTTCCCTCGCAACCCTGAGGCGTCCCTAGCAATCTTTTGGGCGATCTGGTCAGGGTGAGGGACAGGGACGGATTGGAATGTTCCATCTCTGCCAAAAAAAGTGGGGGAAAGGAAAGGAGAAGGTGGGGCGATCCATCTGGGGAAGGAACATGGAATCTGAGAGAAGGAAGTTTGGTGACCCAGAAGAACCAGAATAGCTCCTGGTTTGGTTCCAGTTGAGGAGCCTCAGGGCCTGGCTGCCTTCACTCATTTCCCAGGATCCATCCATCTACCCTCCCTGCCAGTACCCGCCGCATACTGTCACTCAGCCAGACCTTCGCCAGGAGGGCTGGAGAAAAGTTGGGTCGGACTGGCGGAGAAAAGTTGGGTCGGACTGGCGGAGAGAACTCGGAACCAAAGCCAGTACTTCCTGGACCCAGTTTTCCTCCTTCCTCCACCGCCCACCCACCCCCTCCCCTGCCCTGGGGTCAGTTCCTTACACCTCTTCAGCCTTGAGTAGATGTCAGGCTACAGTCTCTAGTGGCTCTGAGAGTCCTCGAGGCCCCTTGAATGGAGTACGGAGACCGGTCTGATCAGCACCTCAGGGACAACCTCCCCTACCCCAAATACCACTCCACCCCCAAGAAGGCCCTAAAGCGTTTAGCTGACTCACTGTGTGTGCTACCGGGACGGTTGTTCCCTGCCCTTTCATCTCAGCTGCCCCTATGCTCAAAATTCTGTGATCCCTACCGGATCACCCAGTCCAGCCCTTGGGCTGGGCCCCTCTCCTGGTACTTTGTTTCTTACCAAGCCTGCCAGTCCACTCCTTTTCCTTGTAATCTTCTGTTCTGTTTTTAGAAAGCAGGTTTATTACTACCTCTCGCTTCCCACATGCCTTTAGGGAAAGGTGCAAGCGTCTAAGAAAACATGTTGATTTTGCAAGATGTCGAAGTCACATTGCAAAAGTTCTTTGCAAAATGTTCTCTCCAAATAAAATCAATTTCCTCTCCAAGTTGTGTAAAGGGGAAAGGGTATATTTGAAGAGAGGGGCAGTGTGATGGAAGTGTGTTTGGTGGAGAGTGAGCATCATAATTTTTGCTGAACCTAGGGGAGAAACATTTAAAGTGGTCATAGAATTGTCCTGGGGCCTCTGAGATATGACAGGAACCTCTGGAGGGCAGAGAGAGAGAGAGAGAGAGAGAGAGAGAGAGAGAGAGAGAGAGAGAGAGAGAGAGAGAGAGAGAGAGAGAGAGAGAGCTCTCGAGCTACAATGCCACTTCTGAGCTCTCTCTATAAACATCACCACCCCCACAGCCATCCCCCTCCTCTCTAACCCTTCCAGTAGGCAAGCCAGGAAACAAATAAACTCTATCTAAAAGATATACATTGGACCAACTGTAGAAAGCCTTTGCAATATGGAACTTGCAGCATTGCAGATCCTTAAAGAAATGGAACTGTATCCTGAGGAATGGAACTGACCCAACACAGTGGATGGAAGTGGGGGTTGGGAGAGGGAGGCCTCAAGGAGTGATTCAGGTATTACTTGAGAACCTCACTGACTCTACCCCTACTCCCTGCACAACCCAGAAAGCCAATGCCAAAGAGAGAAACCTAAGTTGATTTTCTTCTTGTCTCTGTAGTATTACCCCTGCCCCAGGTATAAACATTTCTGGCTCAATATGCCTAAAACCAAACATTATCTTTCCCCAAAAAAACCTCCCCCACTTCCCTGTTATTGTAAGAGAGCAACACCATCCTCCTACACCCTCATCCTCAAACCCTGGTGTCATCTTCTATTCCTCACTATCTTTTATCCCACCCACACATCCAATCTGTTGTCAAGGCCTGTCAATTTCACCTTTGCAAAAGGTTGGAGGGGATTTGAGTTACTAGATATTATCCATCAGTCAACTACATTTATTAAATACCTACTATGTGCCAAACAACGTACAATGTAAGAGGGATACAGAGGCAAAAGGCAAAAAATATCTTCCCTCCAAGGAGCTTACATCCTAATGGAGAAGAGAACATATACATATACAAGTGTATACAAAACAGATATGAAGTAACCTAGGGAGCTGCAGGGGAGAAATAAGTGAAGGAGCCAGGAAAGGCTTCATGATTAAGGAAAGAGGAAAGAGACCCATATGTACAAACATATTTATATAACAGCTCTTTTTGTAGTGTCAAAGAGCTGGAAACTAAGGGAGTGCTTATTAGTTATGGAATGTCTAAGCAAATTAAGATATATGAATGTAATGGAATACTACTGTGCCATAAGAAATTATCAAAGGAACAGTTTCAGAGAAACCTGGAAAGCCTTCTATGAACTGATGCAGAGTGAAGTGATTAGAATGAGGAGAACAATTTTTATATGACCTGGGGTCAGGTCTGCATAACACTCTTCTTATTGGTACACAGGATACTGATTGAACCCTGAACCAAGAACCCAAGTTCAAAGTAAAGCCAGCTTAAGAGCTTGTGAGAAGAGAGAAGCCTTCTTCCCGATTTTGCATTTAAGGGAAGACACATGATTCCAGACTCTCTTCTGGGAGAAGTATGGAGAGAAAGAAAATGGGCTTTGAAAGACAGGTGCATAAGGGAAAGCCAATCCTTCCAACATATCTTTAACTTCTAGGTTGCCTCCCAAGAGACTTTAGGAGGTTTCCCCTTAGATAAGATCAGGGACTCTCTTGGTTGAGTTAAGTTGAGTTATTTCTCTGCTCCCAGTAGGAAAGCTCATTCACTCTGTGTATTATCTGGTATATTTTAATCTGTAAAACTTTTCAGATTTCTGTTTGTTATCTGCTTGGATAAATGGGTTTATTCAGTATTCACTATCTGTGATGTTGCGTGTGTGTGTGTGTGTGTGTGTGTGTGTGTGTGTGTGTAAAAACTATCATTTGGTGGGAAGCAATCAAACCTTAGGATATAAGCCCGGGATACTCCTTCCCCTTTAAGGGATAGCAACCAGGGAAGCAGCTTGAACCTAAAAATAATTTCCCCTAGAAATATTTAAGGAATGAGCAGATAGATATAATTCTAGTATGATACCTCCCTTCTGAAGAGAAAAGAATAGCCAACCTAGTGGCCCCAATCCACTGTTCCCCTCCAGGCAAGAATCAAAGTCTCCCTTGTAGATAGAGGTAGGCTAGATTCCAAAGATACTTATTCTTGCCTCCCAGAAAGCCACATTTAGACAACTTGGGCAGACATACATAACCTACAGACAATACGTACACATCCTACCTGTCCAATAGCAATAATATTGTTAAAAACACACACACACACACACACACACACACACACAGCTACAAAGTTCCTAAGAACTCAAAGATGAAGATGAATCATGATTCTAGAGAACCAATGATGAATAATGCTACCTATATCCTGACAAAGAGGTGACAGACTCAAGATGCAAAATGATATATATATTTTTGGAGATGACCAAGGTGGGAATTTGTTTTGTTTGATTATGCATATTCATTACAACCGTTTTTCTTTTTAAATTGGAGTGGCAGAAAATAAAGTTTTGTTCATGGAAAAAAATTTAAAAAGAGGTGGCATGCAGAAGGTGGCAATTGGGCTTAGTCTTAAAGGAAACCAGGGATTCCAAGAGGCTGAGCTGAGAAGAGAATGAATTCTAGTCAAAGAGATAGACTGTGGGAGACAGAGTGTCATCACTGAAGAACAACAAATAGGTCAGTTTGAGACTGGACTCTAGAGCACATGGAGAGGAATGATGTATATAAGACTAAAATGGTAAGTTGGGGTCAGCTTGTGAATATTTTTAAATGCCAAACAGTAATCTTTATGTAATCCTAGAGGTTATAGGGAGCCATTAGAACTTATCGAGTTAAGGGAGTGTGACATTGTCAGAACTGCACCTTAGGAAAAACATTTTGGCTGCTGTATGGAGAATGGACTGAAGTAGACAGAGATTTGAGGCAAAGAAACCAGCTGGGTGGCTATTGCAATAGTCCAAACAAAGGGTAATGAAGTCCCTAATTAGGATGGTGGCTACATAAGTGAAGAGAAGGGAACAGGGGCAAGATATTTGGTGGAAGTAGAAACCACAAGATTTGGCAGCAGCTTAGATATGTGTGACATGAGTAAGAGAAGGGATTTTAGGATGCTCCTGAAGTTATGAGCCTGTGTGACTGAAAGATAGTACCTTTTGCGGAGTTTAAAAAAATTTGAAAGAGAGGTCTGTTTGGGGGATGAGTTCAGTTTTGGACAAGTTAAATTTGAGACACCTATAGGTGTCTAAATATCCAGTAGACAGTTCATGATACAGTACTGGAGCTTAGGCAAGAGAGTAGGGGAAATACATAGATATAGATATAGATTTATTACACATTACATATTATATAGAAACATATGTATTCTATTATATTGTCTATTAATGTGCACATGTTTCTATATAAATATACAGTGTGTATGTATGTATCATATCTTCTCTCAACCTCTTCCCTTCCCCTCCTTGTTCCAAACTCATTTACTTCAGTGTATTATTGGAGACTGCGAAAGGGAAGCAATACTGAAAAGTCTAGTTCCCTCCTCCTTCTATCCCACCTGCTTTAGTTCTAGTCTGTTTCCATGGCAACCTCAGAGGACCAAAAGCTGGGGACCAAGAATCACTGGGTTCCCCCAGGGGGTCAAAGGAAGAAAGAGGCAGGATTGGAGGTGGTGCCAAGAGAGATTGAGTAGGGGTATGTCTGTAGGATGCCCCCTTCCAACTCTGTCCCTTTAAGCTCCCCCTCCCCTCTCCCCTCTTCCTCCGCCCCCCTCCTTCCCCCTTTCTCCATCTCTCCCATCTCTCCATCTCTCCTCTGCTCTCTCAGGCTGCGCCATCTGTGCTTCCGGCCTCTGTTGTCTGCTGGCATCCCCAAACTGACAAGGGACTCCAAATCGCAGCACTCCAGAACCCACAGTCATGTCATCAGAAAAATCAGGTAAAAAAATCCTCCTTCTCTGGCTTTTCCCCCAGCACATAAATCATCCTGCCTTCTCTGACCTCCACAGCCTAGGTTCCCCTCCCCCCCATTTCCCTTAGTATCCAAGACTTGGCTCTGGATACATCCTTCCCTCCCTTCTGCTTCCCTAATTCCTCCATCTCTCCTTCCTCTTTCTCCTCATTTCAGGTTCTCTGCTTTAACCCCCATCCTCTTCCCTTTCCTACTGCCCGCTTTTGCTTTATCCCTTCTCTTCCCCAGGTTGGTGGGGGGAGGGGAGAGGAGGAATGGAGGAAGACTGAGGGAAAGATAGTTAGGACCACAGGTGTTCAGATGTAGATATAAAAGGGTATATACCACATGTATCAAAACATGGAATGACGGCTATGCAGATACCCTAGCATATGAACAGTCACATTCACTCATGGAGAATCATAAATACATTCTCAGATGGGGAAAAGAGAAGTCCAGCATTCTTTCTCTCCCTTTAAAGAAATTTCTCAACTCCTCCTAGAGTCAGACAGGTAAGGGCACACCACACAGAGACAGACATACTTAGACAGTTGAGCACATGCAAAACATAAACTGCCATGTGCTGTCATGGCCTTACATGGACAGATCCAAGCATACTAATATTAACACACAAACATACAGACAAGGGCTTTCACAAACATCACAGAAGATGGGCAAGGTACATTAAGGTGAATGAGGTAGGAACCTTGGCAACTGATGGATTTTGGGGGAATGGGAATGTTATCATAAGAAGGAGTGCACAGTGACCTAAAAAATAGATTAAAAGAGGAGGCTTTGACTGGGGTGGGCTGGGGTTTTGTTAGAAGACTGAGACTAGCCCAAATATAACTAACCCCCTTCCCCACTCCCAAGCTGAAGGATGGAGACTTACACCTTTTATTTCTCTCTTCCTCTCTTCCTGTCTCCCTGTCTCCCTGACCCTGTTTCTATCTGTGTTGGTCTGCCTATCTTTTTCTGTCTCTGATTCCTGTGTCGTCTGCATCTCTCCGTATCCTTCTGTCTCTATCTTCCTCCACCGTTTTCCACCTGCCCGTACCACCTCAGGTCTCCCGGATTCGGTTCCTCATACTTCTCCTCCCCCTTACAATGCCCCCCAGCCCCCAGCCGACCCCCCTGCCCCTCCTCCTCAGGCGCCCTCCACCTCCCATCACCACCATCACCACCACTACCACCAGTCGGGTACCGCCACACTCCCAAGATTAGGGGCTGGTGGGCTAGCTTCTCCAGCAGCCCCTGCCCAACGGGGCCCCTCGTCCTCCGCTACATTGCCCCGCCCTCCTCACCACGCCCCCCCAGGACCTGCCCCTGGGGCTCCTCCTCCTGGGTGCGCTACCCTGCCCCGCCTGCCCCCAGACCCTTACCTCCAGGAGACCCGCTTTGAGGGTCCGCTGCCCCCTCCCCCTCCGGCAGCAGCCGCCCCGCCCCCACCTGCGCCCGCTCCTCCCACTCCTGCACAGGGTTTTGTGGTGCCCACACACCCAGGTACCGTGGGTACGCTGCCCCTTGGAGGCTACGTGGCCCCTGGGTACCCTCTGCAGCTGCAGCCCTGCACCGCCTATCTGCCCGTCTATCCTGTGGGCGCCGTGAGTGCAGAAGGGTAGATAGGGGAAAGGGAAAGGGGAAGGGGAAACTTGGGGCGGTGTATGGAGGGCATCCGAACAAGGAGAGGAGGTAAGGGGTCAAGAGAAGCGGGCACAAGGAGGGTGGTGGGGAAGGCTTGGAGGCACTGGGAAGAATAAAAAAAAAAAAGGAAAGGGGCACCTCAAGAAAATGGAAGAGGGGCACTGGGGAATATGAGTGGGAGGCACTGGAGGGGGTACCCAAGAGGCCTGGATGTGGAGGAACTGGGGATAGCTGGGATGCAGATCCTTAAGGAACAAAGGATTACATTATTTACAATAGTTTTGATTAGAAAGAGTGACTTTAAAATGATCGGTCTGCTGACTGCAAACTGCACACTCTTTCGGCCAGGGGAGGGATACTGGATATGATAGGTCAGGGTCCTGACTGTGACCCCGTTTCCCTACCCTTTCTTTCCTCAGCCATACACAGGAGGAGCGCCGGGAGGGACTGGAGTGACCCCTACGCTTTCCCCTCCACCCTTGGGCCCTGGGCTAGCCCTATTAGAGCCCAGGCGCCCGCCCCACGACTACCTGCCAATAGCCGTGCTCACTACAATTTGCTGCTTTTGGCCAACCGGCATCATAGCTATCTTCAAGGCGGTACAGGTGAGGGGGGTGGAGGTAAAAGGGACCAGGGGAGGGGTAGAAATGAAAGAGTGTGGAGTAGGATCCGGAGGGGGCGGAAAGGTAGGTAGAGGGGCTGGGACTGAAGTAGCCAGGAATGTGGCTACTTCAGATGCTACGGTGGAGATGGTTGGGCTAGGGATTGTGCAAGCTCTGGCTCCTTTCTCTGTCGCTTCCCAGGCCTGATACGGCTCATGGGGAGAGAGAGGCCAAAGACTGGGCACTTGAGAAACTGAGAGTATCTTGAGAGGAGATTCATCTTTCTCTCGTCCAGGACCTGACAAAGTTGTGTGATGAGGCATTTGTGGGATGTTTCCCTGACCCCGGGCCTTCCTCCTCCCTCTCATGCAGGTGCGGACCGCTGTGGCCCGTGGAGACATGGTGTCAGCGGAGATCGCATCTCGGGAGGCTCGGAATTTCTCCTTCATTTCCCTGGCCGTGGGCATCGCAGCCATGGTGCTCTGTACCATTCTCACAGTGGTTATCATCATAGCTGCGCAGCACCACGACACGGACTGGGATCCTTAGGGACTTCCCTCCTCCTCCAGCCTGGAGACTCCTTAAATCCAATTTCCTGGGATACCCCTTCCCCTCCCCTAGTGATGACCTTCCAATCCCCCTATCCTCCCCCCAAAACCAGACCAGCCCATGGAGCCTCCAAAGCTGGAAACACCCCTAAACTTGGCCAGGATGTTTTCCATTAGGGGAAACCGTAAGTCCAGATCCCCAGGAATTTCCTAAATATGGCCTTTAGGAAATCTCCAAAACCCAGTTCCCTTGAGCCTCAGAACCTCTGCAGTCAGATACAGAAGCTTGCAGCTCCCCACTGGTTCAGCCTATCAGGAACCACAACCTCCCCAAGGTCCAGCATACAAACTTCCCTTATCACTCTGGGCTAATTTGAGCCTCAGAGGTCAATCCCCTACATGGTTTGCCCCCAGCCCTTAGCAAAGCTTCTCCTTTGGCTCCTGGTATTATACTCCACTTGCTTTTCAGATCTTTCCCACCTTCTGGGGGACCTGTGCCAACTCTAGGTATGTCTGTAGAGCCCCCAAGCTCCCATGACAGCCGGGGAGGCCCTCTTCTCCTTCATGTTGCCAGACTTTGAGTTACCTTTTATGTGCGGACTGAGATGCTGGGGTCTCTGGCTCCTCAACCTCCTCCAGCCTAACCCCAAGGACTAAGCTCCCTTTATCTCCCAGGCAGAGGAGCCAGAAAAGGTGAGGAAAATCCATAAACTTTATTCCCTTTCTCTGGGCAGGGGAAACCAGGCACCTAGGGCTAGACCTGGATCCACTCTCTTTTCCTCAGAGGACCCCGACTCTCCAGTCCTCATCTCCCCGCCACCTGCTTGGGCTGCTCCCTACCCTTACCCATACAGCGTTTGACAAACTGTACAGTCTCAAAGATGGTGTGATATTCCCAAAGATGAGATTAAAGAGATCTTGTGGTTTTATTGCCCCAAATTCTGGAGACTGCTGCTGAACTCATCAACCTACAACTCCCTCCCTGACAAACATTACTGAATCTACCCATCCTCACCTCCCACCCTCACAGTGCAGAGGGAGACAGAGATCAGTGGGGAATAAGAGAAAGAGGCTGAAAGAGAGAGATATAGACTTCATCTGAAACAAAGAGAAAAAGTAGTAGTGGTATGTTAGAAAGAGTATTTCAGTGGAAGGAGAGCTAATACTGTCATTGTGTGACCTTGGTCAAGGCACTTTCCTTCTCTGTAGCCCAGTTTTCTCTTTTGTAAGATGTTGGTCTTTAAATCCCTTCTAGCCTTCTATGGAACCTTCTACGTATGGTTCTATGAATCTAAAACAGGAATGGGAAAGGAGGAAGTAGCTGGTACTTGCAGAGTTTGTCTAATGTTCTCAGGGTTCCAGTTGAATTTCTCCCTTCCCTTCCTTATCCCCTATCCATCAGCGAACAGCTTGTTGGGGGACAAGATGTACAATGCAGGCCCAAGATCTCTTGGACTAGCTGTCAAAAGTGGATAAATCCAACATTGAAGTAGTAACACTGAAGCTGAGAAGAGGATTAGGGTATATACAGATGTTTCCAAGTGAAGAGTGAGGATCAGGATACATCAAAGAGCAGGGGAAAGACAGGCCACTGAGAGAATGGATTAAGAGTAGGATTGGGGTTTGTATGGGCGACTCTTACCACAGGCTTGGGGGATGGGAAAAGTTAGGTGGGATTGAAGATTCTTCAGTCAAGTTGGGTTGTACCAATCCGTTTCTTCACCCAGAACTCAACAAAGGGAACTCCTTGGGGAAGCCAGGCCTTGGAGACATCAGGGGCAAAAGAGGAACCTGTGTTTCATATTTGTGTCCATGATCCCATCTCTTCCTATGTCCTCTGGGAACTTTTCCCTTACATCATTCTTTATATCTTCAATCTCCTCCAATCTACTAGATTCTTTCCTGTGGCCTGTAATACTATTGGTAACATTTATATAGCACTTTAAAGTTTACAAAGTGTTTCATAAACATATATAAATGGATTATATATAGGTATATATACATGTGTGTATATATACCTATATATAATCCCTTTGTGTGTGTGTGTGTGTGTGTGTGTGTACTCTTTTTACAAAGAAGCCCTTCAATTGATCATGCTATACCCTCAAGGTCTATATTTTTTCTCCTTTTAATAACAAAAAATCCTAGAAAAAGACATTTCTTCCCTTACCTGACACTGCTCTATCAATTTTGTATGCAGTTCTGACCCCACAAACCAACTGAAATTGCTCTCTTTCTAAGGCTACTGATGACCACTTACTTAGTTGCTAAATCCATCAGCCTCTTTTCTGTCTTCAACTTGACCTCTTTATTGCTCTTATTTGTCGACCACCACATCCTCCTGAACACTCCTGCCTTGGAATTCATAACACTGTCACTCTTAGTTCTCCTGCCTGTTTGACCTTTCCTTCTCAGTCTCCTTTGCTGTATCAACCTCAGTTGACTCACACTCAAAACAGTGGTGGAGATCTCCCCCAGGCTCTGTTCTGGGTGCTCTTCTCCACACTCTGTCCCTTGGTGATTTCATCAACTCCCTCCCATTGCTTCAATGATCATCTCTTGCAGATGATTGCCTAATTTCCCTCCTGAGCTCTAGTCCTGCATCACCAGCACTTCCTGGAAGTCTCCACCTGGATGACCCATTGAAGCAATGGGAGTTAACAAAATCACCAAGGGACAGGATATGGAAAAGAGGGTCCAGAACAGAGTAACAAATTTTACATGCTATTGTCCAGAACAGAGTAAGTAACAAATTTTACATGCTATTTTCAAAACTGTCCTACTTGCCTGTGATTCCTTCTGAACATTCTTCTGTTGTCTTCTGTGCATTTAAAACAATGTTATGATGGCCCTTTTTTTTAATCTATATTGCTAATAATCTCTCTCTCTCTCTCTCTCTCTCTCTCTCTCTCTCTCACACACACACACACACACACACACACACACATCTCTGACCTCTACCTAACTAAAAACTGAGAGAGAAAAAATCCTTGTAACAAATAAACATAGTGAAGAAAAAAAAAACCACAAAACCAACCCACGCAATAATCGTGTCCAAAAGTGTATGTTTCTGTACTTGTGTGTGTCTATGTATTATATCACCTCTCTACCAGGAGGTTTATAAAATGCTTTACCATAGGTCCTCTGAACACATAGTTGATCATTGCATTAATAAAAGTGCTTAAGCTTTTCGAACTTCTTTTTCTTTATGATATTGGCATTCTTGTATAAATTGTTCTGGTTCTGCTCATTTCACTCTATGTCAGTCCCTGAATTGGTCATTTCTTTCACTAATGTTCTATTATATTCATACCAGTGTATTCAAATATTCCTCAGTCATCTAGAAGGCAATCTAAAGCATACTCTCTCTTTATACCCCCACCACCACCACAGCCCTTAGTTTTAGTTCTTTTCTCCTTTTTCTTTTTTGTCTATTTTATCCCTTCAGGATCCCTGTTGGGGGCAGGAATGGTTTCCTTTTTCTTGTTTTATTTGTGACTGTTCATCTCTATGTATTAATCTCCTTCTTAGCCAACATTTCATATCCCTAATTTCTTCCCTCTTGAATTTGAGTATTTATTTTTAAAATAAGTTTTATAGATATTTTATGTTTCTTATATCACCATAGTTATCCCAAATATCCCTCTGCCTTCTCATCCCAGAGCTTTGTGTGAGGTGCTAATCTAAGCTTTATTTCTGCCATACAGTTTTCCAGTTTTCCCAGCAGATTTTTTTAATCAAATAAGGAATTATCAAATAAGAAAAAAAGTATCAAGTTTCTTTCTCAATTTTTGAGAATATTTGTGAAGTGTGTTTTCTTTAAAAGTTGGACAGAATTATCCTGTGAATCCATCAGGACCAGGAGTTGTTTTGTTTGTTTTTGTTTTCATTTCTTTGGTAGTTTCTTTACAGCTAGATCTAATTCTTTTTCTGAAATTGGATTATTTAAGATCTATATTTGGACTTCTGATGATTTGAGTAGTTTATATTTTTAAAGGTGTTCCTCTATTTCTTTTGTGTTCTCAATTTTGTTAGCACATAACTGTGCATGATATGTTCTGATTATTCTTTTTTATTTCTTCTGGTTTTGCTATGATTTTACCTTGTTTATTTGCTACCTTATTTGATTTTCTGCTCTCTTCTTTTTAATCAGATTAGTTAAGGAATTTATCAACTTTATTACTCTTTTTCAAGGAGCAGCTAGGTGGTACAGGGCATAGAGTGTGGGGCTTATAGTCACGAAGACTCATCTTCTTGAGTTCAAATCTGGCCTCAGACATTTTATTGGTTATGTGACCTGGTCGAGTCACTTAACTCTGTTTACCTCAGTTCCTCATCTGTAAAATGAGCTGAAAGTGAAATAGCAAACCACTCCAGTATCTTGCAAAGAAAACCCCAAATGGGGTCCCAAAGAATTGGACATGACTGAACAAAAAGTCTCTTCAAAGAAACAGCTTTTAGTTTAATTTGTCATTTCTATGCGGTTTTTGGTTTCTAACTTAGCTATTTCCCCTCTATTTTTTAACATCTTCTTCTTTGTGCTTATTTTAGGTTTATTTTTTGGGTTTCTAATTTTTAAAAATATTTATTCAGTTCACTAATTCTCTCTTTTTCTATATTGTTAGTTTATGTTTGTAAGGATGTAGTTTTCTGCTTGAGGCCTAATTTTTGACATGTAGTTTCATCATTATCATTTTCTTTTACATAGTTATTAATTATTTTTATGAATTGTCCTTTGACATACTAATTATTTAAGATTTTATTGTTAATTCATATTTTGTTTATTGTCCCTCAACCAAGTACTATTCTTGTTGCATTATGGTCATCTTTCTTTTCCTTTTGCCTCAAAATTGGTCTTCCCTAGATGACTGTTCTCCCTATACAGACCATCTCTCTTTGCCCACAGAACCATCCATAAGTGGAACCTCCTCCCACCACCAAAGTAAGGCCTTCTTCTTCCCCCACCCCTATTCTTTCCAATCCTTCCCTGATCCTCCTCCTCCATTCTCCTATGGTGTCTTCTCTTTCTGAGACCATAGGAATCACCTTTCCCTCGTTGCTAGACCTTGACTGACCCAAGCACAACGCACATTCCTTTCTATCTCCCTACTTCCCTTTCATGTACCCTCCCATTTGTAATATAACCCCACAAAAAAAAATCAATTCACCTGTAAACAGGGTATCACCAGGTTCTGTCCCCTGTCTGCCTCTTCACTGTTACCTCTACCACATTTCTACCTTCACCCCATCTCCTTGTACACATTTAGAAAGAAGTCTCATAGTAGTCTCTCTGCTGTCACTGTGGCTGTTGTATTTATCCAGTTCTCTTGCATTTCTGTTGATTAGGGTATTTAAGAAGCCAATTATCTCTTCAGTTCTGGTTTTCTTTCTAAAAATGTTTCAAATGCCTCTTTATTATTGAATATCCATCTTTTTTTTTTTCATGTAAGGTTAAGTTCAGATTTCCCAAGTAGATCACACTGAGCTGCATCCTGAGTTCCACTGCTCTTGGGAACACATTATTCTATTCCCTCCCATGTTTTCTAGTAGGTATAGAATAGTCTTGTATTATTTTAATGTCCTTTCCTTTATATTTGAAGCTCTTTCTCCTAATTGCTTGCAAAATTTGTTGTTTCTGAGTTAAATTGCTAAATGTAACCACCATGTGTCTTGGAATTTGCAGCCTTAGGATTTTTTCTTGAGGTGTCCTGTAAATTCTTTCAATTAGTGTTTCATTTTCTATGTTCAGAAGTTCTGGGCAGTTCTCTTCTATTCCCTTTATCATGGCGCTAAGATTTTTTTGGCCTGTCATCTTTTGGGAGACCTATGATCCTTAGGTTGCCTCTATGCATCGTCTCTTCAATATCAGCATGTTTTGCTTGCATGGTGAGTGTATTTTC